CTCAGGAATTAGTTCATCAAGCTCTTCTGGTACTGAGCAACCAGTGCTATTCTTTTTTGTAACAGCCTGAAATTAAAGCACTCAATTAAAAAGTGGGAATTCTGGGATTCTTGGCCTTTTCAGTATAGTAAACTGCAGATCCTGATTCCATGAGTCCAGATGAGTGGTTCTCACCATGCTTTGAAGCTGAATTATAGTACAGTTCACCTTTGTAGGGCCACAGAGAACACAGCAAAACGGGGACTCCAGGAATTCCTCACCGCCAGTTATTTTCACAGTCTTGCTGCTTCCCCATGTACACAAGAGAGCATGTGGACAGCGTCTCTTTCAGTGTCCAAAATCAGTACGCATCTGAAAAACAAACCAAACCAAAACAAAACAAAGAAAAATCAAAGCCAAAAGGGCCATGTTCCCATCACCTAGCTCTACCTAGAATTCACTGGGTCTTGTGTCCCATTGTCTGGCTGTGAGTTTTCTGAAGCAGGTACTTAATGGAAATTTTGAGCTAATTGGTATTTAAGGTGCCTGAAAATAGCTCAAAGGCAGCACTTTAATAGCTATAAAGAAAATAACTCCAAGCAAAGGGGTTTTTTTTACTTCTTTTTTATTCAGTTAAAATCAAGGAATTTGATGACTCAGATACAAGGTGTTAATATGTAGTTGTTTGTAAAATTAAGATAGCCATAAATCTGTCCTAGTAGTAGCAACACTACATGGAGGGTAGCCAATGGCCCTTCACATGATACATGGCTAGCTTAACTGTGTGAGGAATGTGTATATGCTATAAAATGTCACCTGTGTAAGGGACCAAACGAGCCCTATTCATACTTCACAGTTGTCAGTGTGAAGAATCGTATTATCATTTTAGATTTGACATGTATAACTGCATTCTTAAGGTAGTTTGCATTTAACCTAAATTACTTTCCCCCTAACTATCTGGTGAGAATGGAATTCAGCTGCCCTACATAAGAGTAATGGTATTTATTAATAGAATTATAATAGAACTTAAATGTGCAGAGTACATCAGGACAGGAGATCACAGTCCTTAAGGGATTGATTTATCCTTGACTTCTATGAGCCTTTGTTATGGTAATGATAGATATATATTCCCAAAATCCATTTCGTTTGTCTATGCCTTACCCTTTGATTTCTTTATTAACTCTTCTCCCTTGTCAATACAATGTTTTTGTTAATTCAGATCAGGTTTTGCAGCTTGCATCATACTTTGCTATTTTTTTACCAAAATGATTTATTGAGTTATCTTGCAGCTTACAGGCTTTCCCCTCTCTGCTACACCTCCTGCCACTGCTGCCAGAAGGGCCCGTGGGTGAGCTGCCACCAATCAGATTCTGACCAACCGAATTAATCACTCCTAACCCTTGCTAATAAACATAATTTTGGTAATTTAGGGTAAATGTATTGATGTACTCTAGAATATTAAAAGTTTTATCTAAATACGTAATTTGGGATTTTAGGCATTTACATAAATATTAAAATTTATGGTGGCCCTGGGTGCTACTGACTTTGCTGAAATTGTAAATCTTTGGTATTTCTAAAGTCAAGAGGTGTGTTTGGGTGAACAGTCATGGGCATGGGTGGTTAGCTCACACTGTTTGTAAATACTGACCACCATGATACGAGTCAATGGCACCCTTCACATCATCAGTAAATGGAAAAGCTGTTTAAAGGTAATAATGTTTTTAAGGATATAAACAAGAACAAAACATCAGCTGTAAGAATAGCTATAAGACTGTTAGAGAGCTATAAGAAAAGCTATAAAGTACAGAACATTTCTCATGAGCTTATTTTAATATAAGAAGTAGGGTGAGTTTTTTCTGAAACACAATATGCTACTGCAGTGTGTAGCTACTTCCTCATGCTTTCTTCAGTATAGGTATGTCTTGCAACACATGCGCTCTTTCTTGGGACTGGATCTGTATGAAACATCAGTAACATAATTTTGCTGCTGTGCTAGGCTCTGAACTCAGCTACAGTTAAATAGATACTCTGTAGCTATACTCATAGCAGTTATGAAAGATTAATTCAGTGTTATGTTTCTGTTCAATGAAAGAGTTGAAATTAGCATTTCTGCTAATTTCAGGTTTAAGGTTTAGAAATTATGATCCTAATTATTCTTTTTAAGGGGAGCATAAGATAAATTATTTATATAGAATTATTTTTTTTAATTGAAGTCTTTCTCTTTCAAGATATCTGTCCCAGCATCTTCCGTGTTCTTTGTTGTCTTTATCTTGCCATTTCAAAATACATTGTACATATTTCTTTATTGGACATGCAGTAAAATAACCTGTACTCTAAATAACCTATTATGCCATTGCATAACAGCATGGTGAAGATTTCCAGATCTTGTTTTGTATTATAAATTTAATTTGGATTTTCTGTTTCGTCAATACTATGATTTTAAATTATATTTTTACCTGAGGAAGGAATAGCAACTTTGAGGCAATTTCTGGTAGAATCCATTTATACAGCAATATTCCAAAGGCGAGGTTAACACAACAACACAGTAACTCCAGTTTCTGTCCCTTGCAGGTCCTTTCTCTTTTTTTTTTTTTTTTTCCTACCTACTTCTTACTCAGTCAAAATGTACTTGCATTATTAATGAAATTCAGTCCCAGTACTGATGTGGAATCTGAAGGGTAAACTCAAACAGCAAGTTTGAAGTCCTAATCCTTGGAAACCCAATGTGAATAACAGATGATATTAAGGAGGGCGCAGTAGATAGTACCTGGTCCAACAATTCTGCAAATGTGATTTCATTGATTCTATCTGTGTTTTTCCCTCTGTGTTTTACAGAGCACATTGACTTAGGAAGATGTCTTTGCTTATTGCCATTAACATTAGAATGATAGAAAAATGTGCAAAAAGGTTTGAGGATGGTGCAAACTGAAAGCCATTATGTACTTTATTAGAAAATTAGGGATTTGGTTTTAATTATGGTTGTGCTGCAATTATCACAAACTATATTGTATAAATGGGGCTCTTTTCTGAATTTCATTAACAGTTTTTACTCCAGTTACACTCTCTAGAAGGGAACAAGTAAGGCCACAGTTCCATCTCCCTGTTGGCTTGGTTTTTAACTTGGCTAAAAGAGGTGTCACTTGTAATGTGCCCTGGACGGTCACTCACCCAAGAAGTAGCATTTTCAGACCCTTACATGACAGCCAATGGCACTTGCCTGTGGAAGGATGGAAGGACTGAAGGGCTGAAATTCATTCTGGTTTGAAGCAGTAATTAGCTGTCACGTGGTTATGCTGCCAGCAAGCTGGCTACTGCAGTGGACTCTTAGTACTGTGATCAGCCTGCAAAGAGTTGAATACAAATGAAGGAAGCTAAAGAAAAAGGAACTTCTGACTGAGACAAAGGTTGTAAAATAAGTAAAAATTCCTCATTATGTATTATAGTGGATGAAACACTCCATAGACAGAGAGGAACAGCTTCTCGTTCAGAAGCCCTGGTCCTTATGGGGGACTTCAAACTCCCTGATATCTGTTGGAGGGACAACAGGCAGGGCACATTGGTTCCTGGAATGCGTTGAGGATAGCTTCCCTTTCCAAATGCTAGAGGGGCCATTAGGGAGAGACACTATGCTGGACCTTGTCCTCAACAACAAGTTGGGGCTGTGGGGAATGTGAAGCTCCAGGACAACCTTGGCTGCAGTGACCATGAAATAGTAGAGTTCAAGATCTTGCTCCTTAGGGCAACAAGGCGGATGCGCAGCAAGCTCTACCCTGGACTTGAGAAGAGCAGACTTTGGCCTCTTCAGAAAGGTGCTTGGTGGGATAGAGGCCTGGAGGGACAGGGGCCCAAGAGAGCTGATTAATTTCAAGGATCTCCTCTTCCAAACATGCATTCCAAAAAAGAAGGAGTCAACAAAGTGTCTGTAGGAGCAGCTAAACAAGACAACACCAGCCATCTGGATGATAGAAGAAGAAGAAAATATTAAAGCAAAAATATTATGGTCCTGAGAGAGCCAGAGCTAAGATAAGTATGTATGGGGAAAGAATCGCAAGGTCAAGCTGGAAAGCCACTTGAAGCATGATTGTTCTTCGTGGCCGAAGGCAGCCACAAGAGTGGCTGTATGGTATGTGTGCAGATAAATAACATCTTCCTGGCTGGATAGCTCAGATCCAGGGTTGGTAGAGAGTCTGTATATAGGTATGGAGTAATAAAGTTACAAGAGAATTCTTCCCGGACAAAACTCTGTCCCACTCGAATTCATTCATCAAAAATGATGCTGAGTGAGGGATTTTTTCCGCCTGTGTCCGTGTCAGAGAGGTTGGAATTAGATCTTTAAGGTCCCTTCCAACCCAAACCATTGTGTGAGTCTGTTATTCTATTTTGTATCAGTAAGAAAAGGAAGTTCATCTGATATTTACTGAGCCATCAGTTACAGTGCTGGAGTTGATACCCTGCTGACTTAGAAAGGGCCTATTTTATTTCATTTAATACTTGAGTCCTAAAGCGAGAGCTCCTTTCAGGATATACAAAATAACTGAAGGCTACATTCAATGATGCTAATTGGTATTGTATTAAATCATCCAGTTATGCTAAGGTGCAATATAAGATGGAATTTATGTTTTAAATCCATAAAGGTAGCCAGGAAAGTTTGCCAAAAATATAAAATATTTATAAAATGAATTTTTTTATCTAATTACAAGTTTTTTGAGAATAGTACCTTTTGTATGTGAAAGTCCATTTACATTTTGCATATAGACATATTTCTTTATGTTTACGTGTTCTATGCCTTGTGTGTTTTATTTTACATGTTCATGCTCTTTATGATCACCTTCACTACCCATATACATTTTTCTGCCCACATATTTTAGGTAGTTGTCCACTCTCACTGTACAATTTTTCAGCATACCAATGATAATGCAGAACAAGTCACCCAAGTACCATCCATGGAATTTCTGGTTTGAGTGGTTTGACAGCTCAGCCAAAATACAAAGTTTCAGCAAGTTTCACCTTTTGCATTTCAGGATTATAATGATGAAATTCGCCAGGAGCAGCTGAGAGAACTGTCATATTTGAATGGTTCTGAGGACTCATCACGTGGACGGGGCATTCGAGGAAGAGGGATCCGTGTGCCACCTGCGGCTCCTTCAAGGTGTGGTAACTTGAGCTATTATGCTAATAGCTTTAGAAAGTGTAAGCAATAGTAAAAAAAACATAGTTAAAAAAAAAAACAAAATCACATACACATGCTGGTCAGTAAACCAAAATATTTGTCTTTTGATAACTTGTGTCATCTGTGTTGTGACATGTTCTCTGGTCTACAGTTCACAGGCTACAGTGGATAGTATACAAGTAATAAACAACGAGAGCAGATTATGAAGCCAACGAAAGGATATTTCTAGGAAAGAATATTGTTATGCTAGCAATGTACCAGTATGGTCAGTAGCATAAAATCATTGGTCAAAAAATAGTATAGTCTGAGAAGACTACATAATCTGAATGGAACTTTATTTACCAAATAATTACTTTTTTATACATATTACAGTTTATATATAAAAAATAATATATATTATATTACATATTTGTTGATTGGTCATTGGTTTTACATGAATTTGATTGACATAATCTAAAAACATTGGTATATGAATGTTTCCTGAATTCTTCCAAGTATTTTTTCATATCTAGATAACAGATATCTCTGCTTGTTCATAAAGCCAGTGTAAAATATAAATGCACTCTTTCAGACTTATTTTTCAGTGTGAATCCTTAAGAAATTTGTTACCTTAGGCATCTAAGTTATCTAACTACTTCTAGTCTTCTCTCCATAGAGGTAATTTCAGGATTGGTCCTAAAAAACTGACTTTTGTCAGGATATGGAAGTACCTTATGGTATGCTGACATAGGAGTTCTTTGGCAGTTGAACAGGCTGATCTTGCCTATGACCTTTGGGTTTGTTTTTTTTCCCTAAAGAAGTCTACCGTGTTTTCTGTCATTTCTTCCTGGATGGATTTTTTTATCAGTAGTATGATGCACATACGTAGAAATTTTTACAGTTGCCATTCATGACCATCTTCCACTCAAAGTCTTTTTGGGCTCAGTCTTCCTTACAGCTAAAATCTCTGGAACTTAATAATGATGTTCAGAACATCACTGCAACAAACTGGCAGCTTTTAAATTATGTTCAAAGGATAATCAGGGGAGTACTGGCCCCCAATTCCTGCAAAATACCCTACTGATTGAATCAGTTGCACAAATCCTATGATGTTGGATGCTTTCCCTGTTTTCCAGTCAAAAATCCCAGGGGAATATTAAAAAAACCCCAAATTTTATGATATTTATTTTATGGTATTTATTTTATGGTATTTATGGTATTAAAGAACAAATTTTTATTTTATTAAAAAAATATTTATGGTAATTATGGTAGTGTGGTTGATACACTGGACGGAAGGATGCTGTCCAGAGGGACCAGTACAGGTTTGAGAAGTGGGCCTGTGTGAACCTCATGAAGTTCAACAAGGCCAAGTGCAAGGTCCTGCATGTGGGTAATCACTAGTGTCAGCACAGACTGAGGAGTGAGGGGATTGGGAGCAACCCTGCAGAGAAGGACTTGGGGATGGAAGGTGGAAAGCTGGACAAGTTCCAGCAATGTGCACTTGCAGCCCAGAAGACCAAACGTATCCTGGGCTACATCAAAAGCAGCATGTCCAGCAGGTCAAGGGTCGTGATTCTGCCCTTCTACTCTGCCCTTGTGAGACCCCACCTGGAGTGCTGCATCCATCTCTGGTGTCCTCAGCACAAGAAAGGCATGTTGAAGCAGGTCCAGAGGAAGGCTACAAAAATCATCAGAGGACTGAAGTGCCTCTCCTGTGAAGTTAGGCTGGAAAAAAGGGGTTGTTCAGCATGTTGAAGAGAAGGCCCTGGGGACACCTCATTGCAGCCATTCCATATATGTAAAGAGGGCTTATAAGACAGAGAGAGGCTTTTTACGAGTCTTCAACTGAAAGAAGTTGGACATACGGAACACATTGTTTTCAATGAGAGTGGTGGAACACTGGAACACATTTCCCAAAGAAGTTGTAGATGCCCCATCACTGGAAATGTTCAGGGTCAAGTTGGACACGTCTTTGCACAATTCGATCCAGTGAAAGATGTCTCTGCCCAAGGCAGGGTGTTTAGACTAGAGGATCTCCAAAGGTCCCTTCCATCTCAAACCATTCAGTGTTTGTGTAAGTCTAAAATTGGCTACTGAAACTTGTAGTAAAGTAGTGAACATCACAAGTTAGTGCTCTGTGTTTGGTTGTCTCAGCAGGGAAAGAACCACACCTCTGGATCTGGGTGTCACACACGTTTATACCTGGCACTCTCGGTCTTCAGGAAGGGCAGCACATTTGGGAGCATGCTGCTCTGAAACAAAACCCATCCAGACTGCTTCCCTGATATACTCCACTTCTAGTTCATTATATGGTATAGTTACAAGAACCTTTTTGTAAACAGTAACAGCTTCTTCTGACTTACTAATTAGTACAGTGAGGCAGGTATAGCATAAATAGCCAGAAGGACACTAAAACTCTTTCCCTGCTTGTTTATATGCTCTATTCTCTCTGTGCAGTAGGGGAAAGCAGAATCCCATGCTGCCTTTCCTTTGTGCGGAACTAAATTAGATAGGAAAGAAAGTTACTGCTCTCCTTTTATGCTCTTCCTCTACTTTGCCTTGCAAGTTTCTGCCGTCCTGCAACATCTTCTGCCAATCTGTTTCTCCCGCCCCCTAATAAACATGAGAATGAGAGTGATGGCTGCTCTTGTAAAGTAGTTTGAGAGCAACAGAAAAAGTTCCTCATTTTCTTCATTCTCTAGAACTACTTTAGCGTAATTCTGCAACTCTGTGAATTAGAATGATTCAGAATTTCACTAGTACAAGCAACAAGAGGATCAGGTATAAAAGGCACTGGGTGACTTAAAAATAATGCCTTTCCATAATAGGAGTTCTGACCAAGGTATTGCCTGAAAGCGCTTGACACTGTAACTGGCAAAATCCCACAGTTATATGATGCTTTAAAAAGTAGAATGTAAGAGCCTTTAAAATGGGGTAACATGGACATGTCCTCTCTTGCCGTACACACCAAAGTGATCTTTCCTGTTTGCTCCCCACAGGGGTCGTGGGGGTGCAATTCCTCCACCCCTGCCTGGACGAGGTGCCCAAGCACCCAGAGGAGCGCCAGTGACCCGTGGAGCCCTCCCTGTGCCACCAGTGGCAAGGGGCGTTCCCACCCCTCGAGCCAGGGGCGCCCCGTCTGTCCCGGGTTACAGACCACCCCCGCCACCTGCACACGAGGCCTACGAGGACTATGTAAGTAACTGCTTTCATTCAGAACGTGTGTGAGGCAAGCTCTGTGATGAACATCAAGTACTGCTGAGATTAAATACTTCAGGCCAATAATTCCTCTGTCTCTAGTGCTTACCTCTTGCAGTTGAACAACAGTCTGGGCAATGCAATATGTCTGCAATCTTGTGCTTGGTGATATGAGTTTGTAGATCTGTTTACAGCTTAGTTTTGGATACAAGAGATCATGCTGGGTAGTTCTCAGGGTGTTACAAAAGAGCAATACAGATATTATAAAATTTATATTTTGTACTAAAAGTCAGTTGTTACTGTAGGCAAGTTCCTAGGAATAACAAATTATATCCTTTGTGAGAAAATGGGGGTGGGATGTTCTTCCAAATCCTTTTTATTACATATTTGTATTCAACATTGTTTTACAGATACACAACAAATAGAAATTCAGGTAGTTTTCATGAAAGCTGATACAATGGTGCATCTTTAGCAAGGAACAGTACTGTCACCTTATCTTATAAGGTGTTAAAAATAATTGTACTGTACACATCAAAGCTTTCAAATCATCCTTATGAATGTTTCTACCTGGAACTATCACCATAACAACAGATATCCAAATAGAGGAGAAAGTACTATCAAATAGCATGTCTGAATTTTTCCAACTATATCAAGTCCAAGAGTAAGATGAACATCCCGTCTATCCTGTCTCTAGGAGAAGATGCAGTTTTATTCAATTAATGGTTCTCCTAGTACAGAAGAAAGGAAAATGAAACAGAAATTAATCTTTGTTATTAAAGCTTTACTCAACCATGTGTGTTTGTAGCATAGAGATTAGATCATGGCCATTTCAAAACAGGGATGCACATTCTTTTGATGCCAAGAGTCACAACTCAGCAAGAGCAGCAAAAAAGGAGGCGGAAAAAGTCACTCTGGTATTATTTACCTCAACACAGTTTCCATCATTAAATGAGATAGAAGTCCTGCTAAGAAAAAGACTTTCAAAAGTATACCCTTCCTTGATAGACAGTATATTATTATCTGTTAGTATCGAAATGTATGAGACCTTCTTTTCTGTGCAGATACACATACTTTCCTAATCCATGAGTGAAAAATGTCAAAACAGAACCCTTGTAATGTAAGATTAAGCTTATAAATGGAGTATTATTTTTTCTTTTACAGTATTAGTAGATGTCCTAGAGTATTAAGCAGTTGTTAGGGAACATTTCTTACACTTTTCCTGGATGGTAAATATATGGAAAGCAAGAGGAAAAATTAAGGCAGGATTGTCAAGGTTAGGAAGACATTCAGCCAGTTCGATATTATTTTGAAATGCTAACACTCTTAGAATTACAAAATATTTACACAATTAAAAGAGTCATTTTAGTTTATAATACATTAATCAAATAAAACCAAACAAATGTGTTTGTGTTTCTATTTCCCCTTCTTAGATAGCCACAAAACACATACTGCCTTATAGGACAAATTCACATGTTTTTGAGATCCTTTCATCTCCTGTGTCCTTTTAACATCTATATTCGATGTCTAGGAATATATGGGTTGCTATCATGCACCAGTTTGCAATGAAAATCTCTTTTCATTTTGTAAAAGTTTTTAAATGCAATCTAAATCATTTTGGTGTCTTATGGACTGAGATAATTAAAACTCCGATGCTGTGCAGGTACAAGGAAAAGTTCATGGTCATATATCTATATATGATTTGTAAATTATGTTTTAAGAGAAAGTGGTTTTATTTTGACAGGAAGTAATCAACACAGTTTTTCTTCCCAAATGGATCATATAATAAATCATATGTCTGACTGGATACTAAAAGCAAGTGGATCTATTTGTTGACCAGCAACAAATGTCGTGTGTAACTGTTGTTCTTTCACACTTAATCCTACAGATGAAAAACTAATTTGTAATGAATGATTTATCCAATTTACTTTGTATTCTGCTTGTAGGCAACCCACAAGTGTATTATAATATCTTTATGTGTTTATGTTTTTAATTTTTTGGCTACAGTCTTTCACACCATTTTTTGCTTAATATATGCGAGTTTGATTAGTTGTACGCATGAATACTATGTCATTGATTGTGAGTATCCATATTCTTAATTTTTCTTGGCTCTAATGAAATATAGTTGTTTAAATGCGGAGCTGAAAGTGAACTCAATAAATAGAATAGAATGACTACAGCAGATTTTTTAAAATGTTTGAACAGCTCTTCCTGAGAAGAAATCTTTATCTACTTGCTGAGCACTACTAATCAGATATTGTATTGACTGTTTGAGCTTGAAACATCTAACTGTTCAAATCAGTTTGGATAACCATTAAAAGTTTAGATTATCCAATATATAAATATTTTGAGGTTTCCTGAGGCCTTTCTGAGAGTCCATAAAAGCAAATGTCTAACGAAAAGTAAAGTCCTGTCATTGTGGTGAATATATTCATGTTCAACATTTTGAATGTCAGGCCTAAGTGGAGGGAAAATTATTTGGAACAACTTTCAGAAAAGAAGAGGGCTTGAGAGGGAAGGGGAAGTGACACACCTCATGCCTTTTTCTTTACTTGCTTTTGAAACTTGCTTTTCATTGTGTGTAGCCTAGAGAGTATCTTAGAGGAACTTCAAAAGATTACCCACAGAAAAAGAAGGTACTGACATTAGAAGATTTATGCAAAAGGGAAAAACCAGTTACTATGTGAACCTTCATCATTTTACGGTTCATTGATGTGAATTTGGATGGAGAGTGTAACTGACAGCAGCTATGCAACCTTGGATCAAAAGGGGTGGTCCTGGGTTTGTGACCTGGTGTTGTGCTTTAACCCCAGTTAAAAAATAAGCCCCACACAGTTGCTTACTCCCCCCGGTGGGATCAGGAAGAGAATCAGAAGTGTAAAAGTGGGAAAGCTCATGGACTGAGACAAGACAGCTGTAGTGGGTTGGACCTGGCTGGATGTCAGACACCCATCAAAGCTACTCTTTATCACTCTCCTACACAAGTGGACAGGGGAGAGAAAATATAACTTAAGGTTCATGAGTTAAGGGCTGGGAAAGGTCACTCACTGGTTACTGTCATGGGCAAAATAGACTCAACTTGGGGATATTACTTGAATTTATTACCAACAAAGTCAGAGGAGGATAATGAGAAGTAAAATAAGTCTTTAAAAACACCTTCCCACCACCACTCCCTCTGTCCCAAGCGCTATCTCCTCCCCCCACCACAGTGGTGCAGGGAGACAGGGAATGGTGTTTATAGTTCATCACACGTTGTTCCTGCCACTGCTCAGGAAGAAGAGTCCTTCCCCTGCTCCAGCATGGGATCCCTATTAGAGGAGACAGTCCTCCACAAACTTCTTTGTGGATGACAATGCACTGGAACGGATTGCCCAGAGATATTGTGGAGTCTCCCTCACTGGAGATATTCAAGAACCGTCTGGACACAACCTTGTGCCATGTGTTCTTGCATGACTCCACTTGAGCAGGGAGGTTGGCCTAGATGATCCATTTAGTCCCTTTCAGCCTGACCCATTTTATGATTATGTGATTCTGTGATTTGTTTGGACATCTGCTCAAATATAGTAAGGAAAGTTAACACTGGTATTATCATTACAGACTGGGGAGAGACTTCAGCAGTCTTCTCTTGAGAAGAATAAGCATTTTTAAAGGCTAAGGTCTTGGCAACTTTCAAAACAGGCAATAGGCATGACAGGTTGAGATTCATGATTAATACAGAAGTGGAGAGTACTTGAGTAGGTCTTCTGCGATTGAGGCAATAAATAATGGAATCATAGAATCATAGAATGGTTTGGGTTGGAAGGGACCTACCAGATAATCTAGTTGCAACCCTGCTGCCATGGGCAGGGACACCTTTTCACTAGACCAGGTTGCTCAAAGCCCCATCCAGCCTGGTCTTGAACTTGTAGGGATGGGGCAACTTTCCTGGGCAAAGCCAGTGTTCCATACAGTATATTTTAATCAGAGCGTCCAGACTTTTCCACTCAGGATTAAAGCTAAATATTTGAAGGGTGCTTAACCTAGATCTAAGCCAAAAACACTTGATTTCAGATCCTTTTTTGGACTGCATTTGACTCTGGATCTGTATTTGTTCCTTCTGAATCAGAAGCTACTAATGAGTTGTGCAGTGTTATTGGTTATTTACATTTTTTTAAGAACTGCGGTGAGCCTTGCTAAAGGGTCTAATGTGGGTCTTGAAGTGACTTATCACTTGTTCCCTTAGACCAGATGCAAAGAGTTACCAAAACAGAACACATTTGTGACTAAAATGCACATTGGTTTTTTATTTTACCTCCACTTGCATTTTTACTCCTGGATAAGAAAGGAAACTTTTGCACAGAAAGCCACTAATTTTAATATGAATGCTTAGATGAACTTCTTGCATTTACAAAGAAATATATAATTTGTTTGCAAGAAATAAGCCAGTCTAACAAGACCCTGTGAAGCTGATACAGCTCTTGGGTCTAGGACAGCCAGATTAAAGAGCAATTTTGAAAGCAAATATTCTCTCTCGCCTCTCATTTCACTGATCAAACCAGCCAAACACAGCTTCTTGTTATCTTCTGGAATAAGAGCAATGTTTTTAAAAAGTCGCTGGAAAAGAACCACACAATAAGATAGATTGTGCTTTTAATGTCGTATTGTTCTTCCTCTCACTTCAAACTGTTTAAAACAAAAGCAAATGTCACATTCAACTATTTATTCTAAGATCAACGGTTATTTACATTTTTCAATAGTTTTCAAACAAACCGAAACAACTATGCTCATGCTTATTTAGTGCCAACCTAGACAATTAAAAGACTGACAATAGGAGGTGTTTTGTCACACTTTAAGATTTTTAAAATATATAATCAACATTTATATGTGACTGCGATCCCCAAAATTGCAGTTGTGGAGGCTTTGTTTTATATTTTAAATGGGAATTCTTGGGCTATTAGATCCGTTCTGCCACTTCTAAATGTAGATGGAAACTGTGTATACAGACCTGCACTTCCTCTTCA